ATTACATTTCCCTATATACTGTATTACAAATAATAACGTATTGGGAGGGGTGTCAAAAAACAGAATTTAGGGAAGTTTCTACATATTGCTACCTAGGGTTTTAATATTAGAGCTCAGAACTAAGAAGGAAAAGACATTCCAAGTTGAGAGAATAAAAGTATTCTGAACATTTAAGGCCCTTGGTGTGTGCATGTGTACATACACACAGTTTATACTCTAAATCCCAAGCAACCATGAAGCTGTTAGGATGAGGACTCTTCTATGCAATCCAATTGGGTCACACACACAAAGACACTTTACAAAGTGTTGGCAATTGAAAGTCATTATTATAGACAGTAGACAGTAAACAACAGGAACAAATTATTCATGGAAAGCAAACAGTAAACAAAGGGAACAGATTTGAGGTGAGCTGGTCCCCTTCACCCTTATGTATGCTTACTTAGCATCGTAGGAGAGGGACCTACTTATGTCTAAAAGGCAACCCACTTACCTTCCCAGAGAATCCATGTCCATTTTTGTGTCACTGGACTGGCATGTTTGTGGTCAGCTCAGGCCAGGTACAGCATGGCTGTTTTCTTTCTCATTGTCTGTCTCCCTCTGTGGCTTTTCTTGGCTGCCTCTGCTCCACTGTGCTTACTGGTCCAGCTCTCAACCTCAGCTAACCCTGGGCCAGTGCCATCATCATGACAGCTCTGGAGGCAGGAGTTTTATTTGCAACTCCTGTACAGGGTATGCCCAAGCCTCTGCCGGCAACCTCTGCTTGCAGTACACCCAGGCTCAGGTGGGCCCCCTTCGCAACTTAGGACAGACTCCCTTCTCTCCTCAGGACAGGCCCCCTTCTCACCAAGGGTTACAGCTCTCAGCACAGCTGGGTGTCCACTTCTGCATTTTGGTGGCCAGGTCAGCCCACACCACCATCTAAGGGGGGCCCTCTGACAGCTCTCAGTTCAGCCGGGACTTTCACTGCCGTCTTTCTTACAGCTGGCCTCATCCCCGCACTGCTGTCTGAAATGGGCCCCTGACAGATCTCAGTTCAGCTGGGGCTTCCGCTGCTAATCTTTCCGCGGGCTGGCTTGACCCTGCACTGCTGTATACTAGTGAGAGCCAGTTTGGCCTTAGGCCACTGCCTTTCTGCTGCTCAGGTCTGCCATACTGGTGTTTGGCCCCGCCGCTGCCAGTAGCAGGCCTCTCGGCTCCCACTGCTTGTGTAGTGGCGTCTTCTTTGGGAGCTGGGCCCTTCTGGACCTCTGGGTCGCCCACTGCAGTCTGTTCCATGGGCTTGCCCGCGGCTGCCACCCATGGGCTGTTTATCTCTCTTCAGTGTTACCAGCTCAGTGTTACAGCCCTTTTATTTGAGTCTGGGAGGTTCTCAGCCCAGAGACCCTGGGTCCAAAGGATGTGCTTCTCTCCAGACTCTTGTTGATCAGGAGGTCCCCAAAAATGTCTGTGAGATTGGCCATTTATATAGGAAAACTCCTTGTTAATTTCAAGACTGGCTTTCCTGCCAGGATTGCAAACTGACGAATCCTCTCATGTGGATTGCAGCTCAACCAGTTGCTTGGCGGATTGTGAACTGACCAATCATTTTAAGAGATTTGCAAACCCAGGCCCAGAAAGGCCACCATAAGAGAAACTCATTGTACCACACTTGGTTAGGATTTCTGGGACACGAATATGCTTATTGTAGGTAAGGGCATCTTATCTTTATTCAAGTGGCTCGAATTCCTGATTATCCTTATCTTTATTCATCATGGTTCTTCATATTGGTATTTTGACTTTGTTTTATATCTAGAAAGTTATACACAAACACGTATAGCAACAAACAGTTGCTGTCGTTGATTCTGACTCATGGCAACTGCTTATGTGTCAGAGTAGAACTGTGTTCCATAGTTTTCAGTGGCTGATTTTTTGAAAGTAGAGCACTAGACCTTTCTTCCAAGGCACTTCTGGGTGGAATCGAACCTCCAATCTTTTGTTTAGCAGCTGAGTGTATTAATTATTTGCAGTACCCAGCGGATATATACAAACATTCATTGTTGGCTAAATGTCCAAGTCATCAACATGATATTTTTACAAACTAGGCACAATTTGATTAGACACGTCTAACATTATATCAGCATTCAAGTATAGTTGTTCTTCACAAATACCTAATGAAAAGAAGATTGCCTTGATTCATGATTGGACTGTACAATGGACCGGGGTTGAGAATATAGAATTTATTTCATCAGTGTAGTGTTGGACTAATTAGTTGTTTAGGACCTTCCTTTCTGCAACATTTGATAATATTGATTATCTCCTCTTTCTTGGCCTCTGTGACAGCCCTTTTTCTTTTCTGATTTGTCATGTTCGTCTCCTTCATTGGCTGCCACCTCCTTTCTCCATCATTGAGATGCTAGTTTTCCCCAAGGATTTGATGTTTGGTGTTTTCTTTACATGCTGTTGAAAGTTTCAGTACCATCTATAGGCTGATGACTGAAATCTACAACTCTAGTCTCAAACATTTTCCAGCTACTTGATTACACCCGCCTCTTAATATCCAGGAGATGGCAACATTTTTTCAAAACTATGGGATTATTTTGGTGATTTTCTTAGCTGGAGCAGAGGGAGCAAATGAAATAATCATAAAGGCTCTTGACATTGTTACTTACGTGTTTATGTAGTTATACACGTATGTACATACATATTTGTTTTATCAGATACTTTTAACCCTTTCAAGACCCTATTATTTTCTGCTTTGATTTTTTTTTTTTTAATACCATGTGTTCGTTAGTGGAAACATGCTGTGTCATGAAGTGTGTTTAATTTTCTGGTTGGTAATATGGGTTTTGAGAAATATTATTTGGGAATACATGGTTCCCACAAACCTCGCACGGGAGGGTTCTAGGGCGCCAGGATTAGTGAGTGCCTGTCTGTCCTACTGGTCATGGGAGGCAGGATGTATTGCAACACACACAAACCAAACCCACCAGGGCTCCCTAACTATCACAAGGAAACCATAAATATGCTCACAAGGCTTACCTAGCTGTACAAAAGCCAAAAGAGACAAGATTTTTACCCAGTCACACTTCCTGGATGTGTTACTTCACATTTAAGGCTGATACCCCAGCTGTTTTGCTTCAATGAACATTTCTTTTACCTTTCACCATTACACAAGTCCCCACTGGAAGACAGCAAATGCTTTTAGCAGAAAAGTAGAATCCCAAGAAATCTGAGAGCCAGAAAAAGTGGGTGGGATACTGCATGTCTCATGGGTCATGTAAGTGGGATTCAGTGATTAGAGAAAAAGTTGTTATGAATTAAAAATTTTATTTGAAAAAAGTTTCTGTGTTTTTTGAATGTAGATTGTAAAATATAGATTGTCCTCTTCATCCCCTCCTTTTCCATTCCCTTATAAGAGAAAATAACTCTGAAAACTGGTTTACAGTCTGAGAACTTCCAGGATTCTTTACCAGAATCCTTCTGGATGTTGCAGTCCTTGATGCAAACAGCATTGTTTTGGGATTGTAGTTTTTATAATGGCTATGAAGCAGAGTGACTGAGGTTGATAACTACAGATGTTGTCCTTTGCAGAAACTTAGTTGGGAATCTTCTGCCAACTTTTTCATTCATCTGTAAATTAAAAAAACATATTCTCATTCATATTCATTTTCTCTCTCTAAAACCAGTAAGGAACTATTTATGAACTCCTATTCCTGAGGATTTGGTAGTCTTTTATAAGTATATGATCTCTGAGAGCAGTGTCCTCTTGTCCCAGAATCCCTTTTCCTTGTTATCCCTAACTTTCTTATGAGTTAACATGCCATGACTTATTAGGGAAGTCTTTAGATTCTTTGTCTTTTCCTGTGGGTCAACTTTGATTTAAATAGGAATTAAATAGAATTGTAATTAAATGGATATTTTAGAGTTTTTTTTTTTGTTTTAACAAAAGTATCTACTAATTATAGTCTCTCAAGTATCATTGTTTTATGTTTATTTCTTACTATATTAATAGCCTGGTTTTAACTCCAATTTTACTGATAATAAGCACTGTTCTTATTACCTAGACTAAATAATTTTTATAAAATGCCTAAGATTGAGAGAATCTAAAAAGGACAGAAATTAAAAGAGGAATAGGAGGAAATTTGAGACCACTCTTTTAGACTTAGATTAATATTTTTGTGTAGCATCAAACTTGTGTCAAAAACCTCCAGCAATATTTCTTTAAAGAAAGACAACCAGGAAGAAATACTGTAGTTCTTTTAGTGTACAGAACCTCCCCCACCAAAAAAAAGGACCTTTTTGTTTTTCTATTTTTGGAACATATTTTAAGTAACTAATAGTACTCCTATTTTTATCTAGATTTCTTGGATCTGCTTATTATTTGTTACTAAAGCTAAACATAAATAACTTGAGGATCATGATTTCATCAAAGCTGTATAGACAAAGATCAAATAGTGCAATAATCAGCATCCAGTTATTTTGGGGAGTGGAGAGAGGTGATGGGCAGGAAAGGATTTTCCTTGCTAGAGAAACCAAGTGTAATATTTTAATGATAAAATATTTCTGTTTGCCTCAGTTTTTTAAACCTGTAAAATGGAAATAACTATCTCTTCTTAGCGTTATTTTTAAGGATTAAATGAGTTAACATAGATAGTTTAGAATAGTGCTTAGCATATAAAAACCAAAAACCAAACCTGTTGCTGTCGAATCAATTCTGACTCATAATGACGCTATATCAAGCTCTTAATAAATTTAGCTGGTGCTATTATTGTTTGAATTTTTAAAAAGAAAACCCATACACAGGGAGAATGGATAAGTGTGCCTGCAGTTTAAGATTTAGCAAAGTAGTTAAGATATTAAAAAATGGTGTCAAGCTTCTTACTCCACCTATTTGTTGGCTCTTGCTTTCGGAAAGTTAGCATAAGATTTAAATCTCCTATCCTGATTTAGTAGAATGAATAAATTTGATTACAGAATCTTACAAATGAAATAACTACATCTATCTCCCCCGTTTGTTTTAGGTTTCCTCCCAAAAAACCTATAAGGTAAGTTGTCCGACTGCACTTCATAAGTTTAGGTTAAATTTAATTAGACACATTTCTTTGAAATTATGTTGGATTTTTGTGGTTTTTGAAAATGTGGGTTTAAGTAGTTCAGAATTTCAAAATGTTTACAGATGTAAAATGTAACAGGTGTTGCATATTTTTACTAGAAGACAGCATTGTTTTGATAACATTCTCAATGTTTTTAATATAAGCATTTTAAAAGTTTGTTCTAATTGATACTTAAGATCACTCCCTATGAAGAGACTCAGTTTTAAAATCTGTTTTGTGACTGTTTTCAGTTGTGAGCAGCATGGGGAGTGTAAAAGGGTTGCCAGTTTTTGATGTGTTTTATATAGTTATTGAACTCTGGCAAACTGATTTAATCTTAATTACTTTAAAACATTAAAGGAAAAACTCTAAACGGTCGAATATGTCTGTGCCTGCATTCATATCTACATATTTATTCACTTCCAGATATTAAATGCTTTTTCCTCAGTATTTGTGTTTCACCATCTTTCTCTCATCTTAATTACCATATATATTGTTTAAAATGTAGATAATATGTCATCCTAATTGATACAGTGCATTTATCATTTTTAATGACAGCGTAATCCAGGATACTAAATGCTAACCTTGGCATTTCACCTAATTAATGATGTATGCATTATTGTCATGGCCTTATTTGTTGCTCAGCCATTATCTGATCAGTGTAATAGGGTAGGCCATGGGAAAAATGATAATTCTAGTGTCAGCTAGGCCTGAAGGTGGTTGGCTAAATCTTCTGTGCTAGAACTATAGGCAGGCTGAATGTGAAGCTTGCCTTTTTTTTTTTTTTTTTTAACTGTTCCCATGCATGCTGTAGGGTTGAAGAGTGTGTTTCATTCCTTTTTGACGCGGTTTTCGTATCTGTCAAAATGGAAATGATAGTGATTAACCTGTGAAAACCACTAAAAAATTTTAAGCAGTTACTTCTAAAACTAAAATAGACTGTAGTATTAAATACTGTGCTTATTATTTTCAAGCACTTTTTATAACCAAGTAAATAAACTGTGTATTACACATAGCATAGACTGAGTTTTAAATTTTTGTATTTCGAATTTTCTTCTTGAAAAATGTAAATTAGAATGTTTTATGATGCTGTGTAAGGTGAACTAATTTCCTAGTTTCTCTTTGTAAGATACACTTTTGAGATTTTTAAATTAAGTTTTTATTCTAAGGATTTTCTTGTAGTAAATGCTTGATTGCTTTGATTTAATTTAGGCATGGAAGTATTTTGAACCGAGAGTCACCAACAGATAAGAAGCAGAAAGTTGAACGCAGTACATCACATGATTTTGACCCCACAGGTAAAACACTGTATATTTTTCCAAAGAATATTGAGAGTAATGAAGTTCAGAAGTAATACAGCTTAAGCTACATGACTACTGGAAACATCCAGGAGCAGTTGTTAGATCTGTTTTAAGACTCCCCCCCCCCCCATATTTTATAATATAAAGCTTTGCACTCAGGAAAAATGCAAGCATTCTTAACTTTTAACATTATATTTCCCACTATGGAAGCATCATTGTTCAGTGTATTATATTTAAAAATAATGCTAATAACAGAATTATATCTTAATTGGAGATTTTGCCTAGACCAGGGATTTAAGTATTAAGATAAATCATAAATATGAGCAGCAGTATGTCATAGAATCAAGGCTATAAAAACTACAAACTTCTGTAGTCGTTTAAAAATTCAGTTGAGATCATGGTGAATTGGAGCATTAGATAAAATAAGACTTCAGAATCATTGACTTATTTTAGAGTATGCAAGTGAGTAGAGATTACTTTCTCTTCAGTCAGAAGGTGTTCTGAACTCAGAGCTGTCTTTCAGTCTCAGTTGTGTTGGTTCTTTATCCTAGAATTTTCATGATAGTAGACTGTTAACTTTATGCATATAGATTGAACTCCTCTTGTAAAATATAGGTTCTTGCTTTAAAAGTTGATCTCATTGTTAAAAGCAGATTATTTTGAAACTTTCCCCTAGTAAACTTACTCTGTATTTAATTTATAAAAATTGCTGGGTAATTTTGCTTTTGTCATTTGAAACTGATATATGTTTTTTGTACACGTGCTTTTTTATTCAGTTGTATGTCTCTATGGCAAAAGACTAAGTAAATGCTGAGATCTCAGATACGTAAATCTATTTTTATTTAGAAGTATAATTTTAAACATTTATTAAAAAGTAAATATGCTTTTTTGTATCTAATTAAGATGCTTCATATTTTTAGTATAAATTTTTCTTTTATGTTGAAAAAAGATTATAAATATTATCTATAAAGGGAAAAGTAATCAGTGAATAGTTAAAAATTTACCTGCATATTGGGTAGTAGGTAAAATGAAATTCCAGTAATCAATTTAGGAGGTTTAGGTGGTGGGAGTAGGTAATATGTCGCTTCTGGATCTCCATTAAGAGAGAATTCTTTGTTTCTGACACCTAATTTTGAAGTCATGGGGTTCAGAGGCTTTCATTTATATGATTAGTTATTGTCTTGCTAATTCGGGGTGCAAGTTTCTGCCCAGTGTTCATGAAAGCATCATAGTCTTGTTAGATTGATTTATTCTGTATTGTTCATCTGTGGGGTGCCCATCTCAAAAGACAGGTTTAGCAAAGTGGTATGCAGTGCTTCATACTGAGGTTATTAGAGATCTTAGTGCTTTTGTCATCTCTCCAATTGTCAGATGATGTATTTTGCAGACTCTCTTTATTCATGTGTTGTTTTGTTGAATGTATTTTTATTGCACTGTCTTTTCCTTGATAATCTTTAAAATTTGTCATTACCTGTGCTGTTCCTGACTATTCTAAGTGCTGTCACCTGTGATGTTCATACTTCGTGTTTGCACGATTTAACTTGTTCATGATTCATTCTTTTTTCCCCTATGAAATTTTTTCCCCTTACATTGGTCTCCATATTTTCTCTCTCCTTTTCTCCCACTCTTGTGCAGATAGCTCCTCCAAGAAGACAAAGTCTAGTTCAGAGGAGAGTAGATCCGAGACATATGGTAAGCTAATGTAGCCAATTCAGCCTTGCACCTTTGGAGCTTGCTTCATGCTACTTCTTTCTTCCTTTTTTTTTCCCCCGCCAAATAACTGCAGCCTTTCTTATGTCTGCTCTGCATGGCATGATCTACTGCAGGGAAAGGGAGCCTGGGGTTTTAATGTGGCTATGATGTGGAAGCTTAAGGTTGCTAGAAACTAACATTGTAGAGCAAGAACAGGCCACATCACCCATCTTCTCCTTCTGTCTCGTTTTTTTTAGGAAAGTGATTGTCTTTACTGTGTTTGGGTCAGGTTCCTCCAAATAACACAGATGGGCTTTGAATTCTTGACGTCTTCTTCCCATGTCTCACGTGTGGAGTTTTGATCATGTAGAATTTAAGCAATGCTGCCAATCTTTTCCTCTAAGTGTAACACTGGTCTAATTTAGATGTGTTAGCAACTCTTTGGAATTTTCACTTCATTTTATTTTTTGGTTTGTTTTCTTTTAATCACCTCATGATCTGGAAAAGCCGTTCTTACATAATTTATCCACAATAGCAAAAATACCTAAGTATTTTATTTTCTTAGCATGAAGAATTTGTCTATGCCTTTTGTAAGTTTCCCTGAAGCTTATTCTGAACAGGAGATGACACCTTATAAAAACAGTCTTCACAAAGGGCAGGTTTAACCTCAGTGGTCAACTTTTGCAACGGATGATTGAAACATTAATATTTCCAGACTGTGTGGTGTCTTCCAAAGCTAATACAGACCATGTTTTGCAGTTCACACATATTTTTTCTTTTCCTTTGCCTAGTTATACCTGCCCTTTTCCTTTCTTTGGGCTCTTAATTAGTTTTCTGAGAAGAGTGACTGCCTGGATCCAAGACGTTTAAAATAATCTCTGGAAGGCTAATACGTTGTTTCTTTTTAGGAAGGTTCCAAATTTGGCCTCCAGGGAAAACTAGGTCTTCTCTACCCAAAACCAAAACCAAAACCAAACGTACTGCAGTTAAGTCAATTCCGACTCAAAGTCTATTAAGTAGAAGTTTCCTCAGGCACAACTCTTTCCTAGCTGACATTCATGAAAAGAAAAAATATATGTGGAAGTACCTTACATTAGCATGCTAACTCTGTTCTGATCAGCTCATCCCTGTGATGAGCGCTCTTTTCATTCATTTAAGACATTTTACAGTTTAAAGCTGCTGGCACTTGAGCCTATAATATCAGATACTTTTTAATATTATGTAGCCTCAGTGTTTACTTTTATTTAGATACATACACATAGTTCTATGTTTGGGTTTTTGTGACCAGTGGCTTTTTTTTTTAATTTTAATTTTTTATATAGTTAAACCTTCTACATATAATTCAACAGGAAATGTATATCGTGCCTTGTGGCATGTCAAGTTTATGCTTTTTCTTCCTACTGCACTATTTTGGCTCCTTATAAGTAAGACATAGCTTCCTAATTTCTTGAGGCTTGCTTTCTGTTCTACAAAAAAGACTTCCTGTAGTTTATTCTCTCCTTGGGAACTTGACACTATCCTTACTGCTGTGTTCTTTTCTAGTTGCCTTTGCAGTGCTGTATTTCATCTCCTCCACCATTCTCCTAGGTCTGTGGTATATATGCAGAAGCTTGCTGTTTGCTTTGAATCAGGACTAACAGTTTAGGAATCTATGACTAGAAATACTGTACTGATATTTTTCTTACCAGTGATAGGAATATTAACACAGGTTCAGACATGCCATTGGCTTGGTAGTAATAGAAACATTTTAAGTGGGGAAGTAAGGTGTGGCTTCTCTGTGTTTTTTTCTTGAGAACTCTTGAAATACACTTTTGGAAGAAATCGTGAACTCACTCAAGAAGTGCTGATCACCCGGATGAGTTGATCAGAACAGAGTTAGCATGCTCACTTAAATCTCTTTGATATTACAGATATTTTATCACTAGTGTGAGTTGACTTCTAGCATGGGTGAAAAAGAATCTCTTAAGGAGTCAAGGAAAGCTTGGAAATACTGCAATATGATTATAGTCATAGCAGCTGGTGACATTGTACTTTAGGGTCTTTTCTCAAGCCCACTTCTAGCTTTTGAGAATTATACATTGTCTTCTCTTGGGGTAAAATTCATCAGCTGGGTCCTTATCACAAATATTATATACTTACAAGTTATTTATTTTAAACTTTCCTAGCCATTTTAAAAGCTGTTTTGTGAGAAAGATTTACTTGATTATTTTAAAAGGAGGCCAAACGTTTGTTTTGTATTGGCTTAAGTTTATTCTCAGTGTGGTAGGACAGTATTCCATTTCCCCTGATTTTCTCCCTGTACCTTTTGGACTCTATTAAATGTGTACAGATATGTTTTCTGATCTGCAACTTTGATAATACTTGATTTCTGTTTTTCTCATTAATATAGGAATGGAGAACTTTTGTGGATTGTGAAATATGAGAGACTAAGCAAGGGAGTTTTGAGTTAGACTACAGCTTCTTCCTAACTTCTTAGTGTCATGAAGGAGTTCTAGCTGATGGTATTGTTGTATAAGAAAATGAACCATGTATTTTTGAAGTACTAACACTTGAGATATTCTAGTTTGGATACTTCAGAGTGTGTTTAAAAAAAAAAATTCTGACTTTTTCTTATTCAGGCTTTTCAAATCTTTAAAAAGAAACGTTCTTCGTTTGATTTGCCCACCAAGATATTATTCTGTCTTTTTTCTCCTTCAGTGTTGCAAAGAGCATTCTACAACATGAACTTTCTTATGTCCTCATGAATCATTCATTTCTTAACCTCTTGTAATCTGATGTCTGAACTCATTCTGTCTTGAAGCAAAACATTATAATTGAAAATCCATTAACTTTTTCTCAGCTCTCATCTTCCTTCTGAGCCCTTTGGCAATGCTGATGCCCTTTCTTTAATGTCCGTAATACTGCATCAGCCTCATTCTTTTCTCTTTTAACTGTTTTGTCTCCTGTTTGATTATTTTTTCCCTCTTACAAGTATAGGAATGACCCAAATTTCTGTCCCTGATCTTTCTTCCAATCTCCAGTCTTACATTTTTAACTGGTTGCTAATTGCACCAGAAACTCAGAATGACCAGACTGAAATTCACCATTGTTCCCTACTGCTAGAAATTACTCTTCCTCTTGTTTTCTGTAAATCCCTTAGTGGCACCGTCTTTCTTCCATCCACCAAGTCTTATTTTCTCAGTCATCTTTGACTTCTCTCTTTTCCTAGTAGTCAGCTATTTGCCAGGTCCCATTGGTTCTTCCATCATGATGTTTTTCATCCTTCTCACTCCTTGATTTCATCCCCACTGTCTTGTCAGTGTTTTATCATTTCATTAGAATATTTTAATAGACTCATAACTTTCTTTCCTACTTCTTGTTGTTTTCCCTCACCTCCTTTCCTTCATTCTACTATATTCTACCTTAATATTGCTGTCAGATTAATATTGCTAAAGTAAGGATTTGGTAGTTCTTGCTAGGAAACTTGCAGTGACTTCCCATTTATCTATAAGATAAAGTATAAATAGTTATTAAGATATGCCATAATTTGTTTCCAACTTATCTTTCTGGCTTACTCTACTACCATTTACCTAAAGGTACCAAACTCTCCTCCAAATTTTCATTTCCCAAATATGGCTTGGTAGTCTTCCTTTGCTTCTGTCATTCCTTTGTCTTGAATGGCTTATCTCCTACAACTCCCTGTTAGAAACCTGCCCATCCTCCAAAGTCTAATTCAAATGTTACCTTTTTCAAAGGGCTTTCCTAGTTTTGCCCTGCTACTTTTGTTGTTTCTGAACTTTGACTTCCTGTTTCTGAGCTTTGACATCCTGCTTTGTGTCTACTTTGTATTTGTATTCATGTTTGCATCTCCCTTAATGCCTGACACAGTGGAGGCACTCATTAAGTGTTTTGAATGAATGATTGTTGAGATTGGGATGAAATATTTCAATAAAGAGAACTGATGCATTAAGATCTTGACTCATCTTAGTTGGATTTTTCTTCCTTGCTGAAAAATTTTAAGTTAGAAGAAAGTGTGACTTAGAAAGAGACTTATTTTTGGAAATAGTCTAAAAGAATGAAATCAGCATACATGGAACTTTAGACTCCTCTTGCTGGCAGCATTTTGCATTTAGAATCAAGAAACTTCTTAATCGAAGGATTATCTGAGGTCTTACTCATAAAACATGTATGTCTGGCAGCAGTTTAAAAATGAGCTGTTTTTATGAGGTTGCACATGGTCTTTCTCCACACCCTTCCCTGAAGCAAATTCTTGAGAAGTGAGACATAGAGAAGTTTGGTCATGTAGTAAAATCAAAGGTGAAGAAAGAAGAATATGCTTTCACTGAAGTAAATGCAGTATGGAAGGTTTAGCATGTTGCCTTACATGTTTAATACCCCATTTTCGTTTATTTACTATCTGATATTTTAGATGTGGCCATTTTTCAGGAATATATTATAGTGAAACTTCAGAGCACTTTCTCATCTTTTTCAGAATACCTTCTGTATCACTTCCTCCAAAACATTACAAAGGACTACACCTTAATTTTTTTCACACTCAAAATCCTTGGTAATTATCTCGAGTAAGAAACAATCCTTTTATGTTGGTTTCAAATACCACATTGTTACAACAGCAACAAAAACATGTCCTTTGTTGTGAAGAAAAAATAAAATTTAGGAAAGGATAATATTTATGTAAATTTGATAGGACATCTTTATTTCACCGATGATATGAAGCATAATGTCTATGTAACAACTTCCAGGTGAAATATCATGATCCTTAAAAGATAGGAAATGAAAAGAAATTTATTTGTAACCAGAGCAGTTATTTTGGGGTAGATGAGCAATCAAATTATTTTGGTTGGAATTTAGCCAGGGCAGAAGCTTAATTAGTGTTCTTATAAAAGTATTTCTCTACTTTGAACAGTCTTTGGGGCTATGATTTTACTTTTTATAAAAAAGTAATTGAGTATGACTTATTTAAAATTTTATTTATGTAGAATAAATTCAAATTTATTTAGTAC